GCAAGGTGTCGGCAGGGTATCTACGCTCCTTTTAGAGTCTTTACGGGGGAGTCTGTTCCTTGTCTGTTACAGCTTCTGGTGGCTGCCAGGATTCCTTGGCTTCACCCTACATCACTTCAGTCTTTAAAGCCAACATTTTCAAATCTTTCTGTCTTTACTTAGCTTTCTTCTCCTGTCTGTGCAATATGCTAAAATTTCCCTCTGCCTCTCTCATAAGAACACATGCGATGGCATTTAGGGCCCACCAGGTCATCCAGAATAAACTCCCCACTGCAAGATACTTAATCGCATCTACAAAAGCCCTGCCCTGCTTGTCATATATGGGCACATTCAAATTCCAGGCATTAGAATATAGATTATTTTATATGGAGGGAGGACAGAAGGCATTTTTCAGCCTAACATACAAACTTATTTAAAAGAAATCCCTGCTTACATTTTTCTAAGAACTCCTAGAGCCATCTCTCTATTGTAAAGCAAGCTCTGGTTTATTTTAAACTTACGTATGTGATGCACAATTGATACATAAGCAACTTTCGAACATGGCATTATTTTTTTCCTCTTTCAAACTGGTGAGACACAGAGTGGTATCTAACATGATGAACTTGGCAAGGGGTGACAAGGATATTATTTCATTAGTAAAGAGACCTGTAAATCTAGAAATTGGTAACCTGTATATACTTTAAAACCCCAAAGAACACCCCTGTCTCTCATCAAAAGTAATTTGTTCTTCCTTTGACCAATGTTACTTATAATTTTGTTAAAAACTATCAATCATTATAGTTTAGGCATTTACACCCGATTAACTAGAACAGGTTGCATTGTTTATATTTTACCATCTTGACAAGGGAATAGATTGAAGGTTTGTTCCTCCTGCTGACACAACCTTCTGGAAGAGTATTTTATTCTACAGCAAAATCTATTCCCAATTTTTAAGTCTGTTTCCCTCTCGAGAAAAGTAAAATTCACATACGTTTCAGAACAGTATCTGAGATCTTCTTAGGCACATCATAAAAACACCATGAAGAAGACTTCAAAAAATTTCAAGCACTATTTTTAACAAAGCAAGATTAAAATTTTCCATTGTATTAACAGCCCTTCAAATATCTGAAGATAGTTATATGTTGCCAACACTAACTCAAGAACAAGGAACAATCTGCCAAAAAGCCGTGACAAGTCATATTTGGATTTAACTTTGTAAATAAAGTATGTTTGTTGGTTGGGACGTTTTTTGGTCTCTGCTGATAAATGAAATATCTTGGTACACAATGTGGAATTGGGAAAAAAAAAAAAAAAGTAACTACCCATGGACTAGAGCACTTAACAATAATTTTCATATATGGGTGAGCTCATGTGGCTAGGCTAACACATTCCTTATTAGTTATTACAGGGTTCAATCTGTGAACTTTTGTCACAAAAGCCTACTTAAAAGTCAAAAGTATGGCTTAAATTTTACTATTATGTGATCTTTACTATTATGTGATCACAAAAGCAACATAGATGACTTGCAGAACATGTAGAAACTGAAGCAAAGTATAAAGTTACACATAAGCCTACCAATTAGAGGTAAGTATTTTTAGCATTTTGGCTTATTTTTCTGTCTCTTAAGATGTGCAAGTATGTTTCCCAAAACAACAGGATCATATTGGATATATAAATTTTGTATTTAGCTACCTTCTACTTTGTATTTCCCCTGAATTAGCAAATACTTTTTGGCCACAGAAAAATCCACTGTATAATAATTATAAATCCAACAACTTGGACACTTCTACTTTAAATAATCTTAGTTTATCTTTGTATGTAAATTCATTTGTATATGATTCTATTTCATGAGACAAATTCTTAGAGGCAAAATTAAAGTTTTTTATATTTACTGATTTACTGTTATTTTCTGAAACTGTTATACCCGTTTAAACTCCCATAAAGATGTCTCTTTGTATCACTGTGGAAAAACAATGGCTTTCGGGGAGTTCTGTTAAGGAAAAAGACAAGAAGGGGAAATCTGCCTCTCGATTGAGGTTGAGATAAATTTTCAGAAATGTATTGTAGCTGCTTCTCATCCTACTTGTGTATAAATCTCATTTTCAATTAAGAAATTAAAATTAGTCTTCTTTACTGATCTGTAGGATCACTGTATTATTTTTTCACAGTTAAAATGTTTAAGAAATCTCCCTCACCACTTTCAGGGCATTTTAATTATTAACCTGCCTTTTCTGTAATCCTCTTTCCACACAAACTTTTTACCGCATGTAAGGATGGATGACTACTACTTAACTACTTTTCCCAACATCTCATGCCCTTGCCTTTGTTTTATTCATTTCCTCACACTCTTGTCTGCCTCCTAATTGAATTTCCAACTATCCATCAGGGCCCAGTTCAAGGGACCACGCCTTCTAGGAAGGTTTCCCAAGCCACCCAGGGCAATTACGTCATTCTCTCTCATTACCTGACCACTTACCAAACACTTCCATAGGATCAGTAACCTTTTTGGAGTTGCCCTCGTTTCCAAAATACATTAAATTATTTAAAAGCATTTAATGGCTTGCCTAATTTTTTCATCAAGTTGCTTTTCTCAATATAGATTTTAGTAAACAGTTACACCTTTGATCATCTTTCCTCATTGATCACTTTCTAGAGGCCAGAATGCTTCCCATTCTTCTTGCTTTAGATGGTATCAAAAACAATGATCTGCCCACATTACAAGCAGTACTTTAATAGAACTCTGAATATGTTTTACCTAATACTTTCCAATAAACATACATAGAGATTAAAGAATAGAGCTCAAAAATTGAGAGGAAGGGGAGGGAAAAAGGCAATAAAAGTCCAAGTGGGCCTCAGTGCATACCTTGCCATCTTTATACATTTTTTGTCTCCTCCAACACAATTAACATCCTACTTTCCCTGTAAGCATAGGACTACCAATAGAACCACATAAAAACTTTTCTCTAGTATCATCGATTTCTTATGCCTCCAACTTTATCAAACACTGTAAGCAGATGTATAAAGCATGTTCAAAGTCTTACTCAACTTTTTCAAATCCAAGCCTTTTTCCCTCAGATACGTTTTTACTGAAGTTTATCAAAGACGTGCCATCAGAATAGTCACTCTGGGCAGGGAGCAGTGGCACATACCAAGCACTTTGGGAGGCCGCAGTGGGTGGAACATATGAAGTCAGTAGTTCAAGACCAGCCTGACCCACATGGTAAAACCCGTCTCTTCTAAAATAGAAAAATTAGCCAGGCATGGTGGGAGGCACCTATAATCTTAGCCACTAGAGAGGCTGAGGGAGAAGAATCGCTGAATCCAGGAGGCGGAGGTTGCAATGAGCCGAGATCGCACCACTGCACTCCAACCTGGACAACAAGAGTGAAACTCTGTCTCAAAAACAAAACAAGAGATGACACTCTGATCAAATCTAAATCTGTGCGATCCAGAAGAATGCTAATGTTAAGCACGTCCCGTAGATCACTTACGATCTACAAACTAATCAATCCCCAATCAGGACAAATCAACAACAAGTCTTAACTGAATTTTGCAAAAGTAGAAATCTGAAACAAACTGGGATTAAAAAATAAAAACTAGCCATTTACTACCATTTGAGAAGTATCAGATTATGATTACCAATATTTTTTCCAGTAATCACACACCGAAAGTCATATTTTTATTTTCATGGGGGCAAATCGAAGACTTTTAAGAATAACGTAAGAAGGCCAACCCATCCCTAGCTACCATAGGGTCAGAAGGGATCAAGATCTTGGCAGGGCACACTAAGCTTCCAAGCCACCCACAAACTGAAGCCAGCAGAGCTACCCAATCTCTTTAACATGTCCTAAAACGAGGTGTAGTTCTATCTGGTAATTTTGCTTCAGTGACTTAACTGTCACACTTTTTTTCTCTCTTCTGAAACATCCATGCCTCACAAACCAGAGTATATTTACCCTTCAAATCTCAACCTTCTAATCTCAAATTCAGATCTATATTTTTCCTCTTCCTCCTAACTACACTGAGATTCTCTCCTTATACAGAATCACTAACAAAACAAAAAAGTTACCAGATACTTATTCATAAGCATGTAGTAATATAACTTATAATGATTCATCCATTTCACATTCCTATTGCTTTTGCTACCTTAGCAGATTTTAAGATTTTCTTTGGAAAAGCAGATTGTAGCTTTCCAACAGATTTAATTACGGCCTTCACAAATACCAGGTGATATTTACCAAGAATCCATTGTGCCATGTTCACTAAGTTATCTGGAATACTTCTAGCATTATCTGTTACTTGGAGTGCACTATCTTTCAGAAGATGACGCTCTAGAAACAACTGTCCCTCATTAACTTTTTACATTCCTATTAAGATTATTTATGGTACCCCTTCACCACCACTCTCAATGAGGTCCACTGTTAACTAATTAGACCCTCTCAGGTGTTTTTCTGTGCATTTATAACCACAAAATTTCTTTATACCATGTAATTGGAGCTTACAACTTGCTTTTTCCCCATCTTTCTATATTACGTATTACCGAAGACTCCGTATTTCTTGACAGATTATAAAGTAGGGATAGGAAATTATTCTGGTGCACTTACTAGCAAAAATATACTATCTGCTCCTGGTAACAAGCCAATGAATATAAAGAAAAATGCTACGTATTACAGTTGATTTAAATACACCTCCAAGCTTTTGTTGTTGTTGCTATTAATTTTTTTGGCATAGGAGAAATGTGAATGAGGTTAGGAAAGAAAAAACTGGGAATAGAGAACAAAACAATTTCCCCAGAAAACCTGTGTTTTAAAATCACTGCAAATTTTGGATTTCTGTCCAGATTGGAAGTAAAAATCTACTCAATTATTCGTATCCTTGCCTCAAAGGCCTTTAAAGTTAGTCCAGAGAATCGCCTCAAAATACCTCAAATTACAGAGCACAAAAACCAATCCACAAAATCTGAAAAAAATAAATAAATAAAGCAAAATACAAAACACTCTTCATATACGCTTTACACTTACCAGTTTGGCTTGTGCTTCTGCAATTTTTCGGTTATTCTCTTCCAGTATTCGCTCTAGTTCCTCACGTTTTGCACGTTCTTCCTCCTAAAGGGGAGGATATGTTAAGATGTTAGAAAAACAAAATGTTTATTTTTACTGATAAATATTTACTAATCTTCCTCTGAACTTTTTTGATATGACTTACAAGGTAGCTTTATAGCTACCTTCTGTCTGATAAATGATAAACTGTGCAGCCACTAAAATTGGTTTCTAGCACTAAATTTAAATCATCCCTCCCAGTCCAAACAGCAACCAACTAAACCCTCCCTAATGATAGTTTCCTGGCAATTATTACTAATACTTTAATATCACACAAATCAACAAGGACAACTACAAAACTGGATAGTATTTACCAAATTAAAAAAATAATATATAAAATATAAATAAAGTGAATATTTGTCTCACCAATTATGTATACCTACGTATTCTTTACCTATACTCCTTTAATCAGCATTAAAAGTTGAATATTTACTGTCTTGTCCAGTGTCCTGCAGAGTGTGCTCCTCGGCTGCCATACGCGCCAGCTTCCTCTTTAAAATGATTTGTACTGTTAGCTTGGCAATACCTGCATCAGCAGCTCAACCATTTATAAAGAAACAACATACAAGGAAGGCTGAGCTGAGGAATGCAGATGTTTATGGTAAGAAGGAACAAAAAATGTAATTCATCATTCCTAAGGCAAACAATTAATAAGAAAAATACATTTACTGTTAGTGAAAAATACAAATGGTAATCCATACTTCATGGAACTACGGGCTTCTTCCATGGGGAAAATGGACTTAACATTCAGATGTTGACAATTTCGGAAGGCAGCTTATATTGTCATCTACAATCTGAACTGAAACTCAGAAATCCAGGGGTTGCATGGTCAGGAAATAAAATTCTTCAACTTATTTTTTCTTGGAGAATTTAATGAGATTTTATAATGCAAACTGTATGAAGACTGCTTGATGGTTTGGGCAGTGTTCAGATCACAGCATACATATTCAAATGATTTTAATATTTGGAAAGACTGTCAGAGGGTTGTGTCCGTGTAAAAAAAAATTGTTAATATGAAACAAAAAAGCAAATGAAGAGAAAAAAATCTTACTATGATTAATAACTCGCTACAAGACAGCACCATTACTCCAAAAAATCTTCATTAAAAGCACTGTTATAAATAAAAATTTCATATGTTCAATTTTATAGTCCGTGAAACCCGCTATAAATATAAGCACGTATATCTAGTTAAAGACAGGACAAGGGAAAACGCATTTTAAAAGCTAAACTTATCAGAAAGCAAAGAGATTCAGTATGTCAATTGTCCATAATGCAAAGATGAAAAATGACAATGAGTCATCATTATTTTGAGTCAAATACTTCAGTTTAAGAAAATACAACTAGAGGATTTCCTATGTCACACACCAATGGGATTCATATTCATTATGCAAACCATGGTGATAGACACTCAGGGGTGTAAAGTAATTTGCCTTGAGTGTTTCAGAGACTTTCACCAAGTTTTTGGATCCTGGAGTAATCAGTGCAAACAAGCTATAAAGCTTCAGTAGCAAATTACTGTCTCACAGAAAGACATTTTCAACTTCTGCTCCAGCTGCTGATAAAACAAATCATGTGTTTAGCTTGACTCCAGACAAGGACAACCTGTTCCTTCATAACTCTCTAGAGAAAAAAAGGAGTTGTTAGTAGATACTAAAAAAAGTGGATGAATAATCTGGATATTTTTCCTAAAAAGATTCCTTGAAACACATTAGGAAAATGGAGGGCCTTATGATCAGAATGCTAGAATTAGTCCATTGTGCTGAAGCAGGATTTAGGGGAGGGAGTGAGGGATAAAAGAAGGAAAAAAAGAAGAGTGAGAAAACCTATTTATCAAAGCAGGTGCTATCACTCAATGTTAGGCCCTGCTCTTTTTAATCTGACTGAAGGCAAAAGCCTCTCACAGTCTAGGTAAGAGTGATAGAATAGAAGAATATACAACCACAGGTGGATTTTTAACCTTTTCCCTTTACCACTCCCTGTCTCCCCACCATCCTCCCAAGAAAGAATGTAAGTCCTGCAGCCATGGCAAAAGTTTCAAACACTTCTCAAATAGACAGCCAGTTCCATTAAATCAAAAAGTATCCTTGAATATGTTTTATAAAAGCTTCCAACTTTTAAGTTATCAGTCAGCACTTCTGAATGGGCTAAAAAATTAACTTTCGCAGCAATGTAAGTTTAGACGAGAAAGGAATTAGATAGTCTGTATTCCATCTCTTTCTGAACTGAGCAGGAGGCAGAACCCAACACTGAAAGTTTTGCCATGGACTGTCTCTACTTTCCAAACGACCGAGCGTTACCTCTCTAGCTTTTTGTGCTGCAAGCTCAGCTTGTCTCTGTCGCTCGAGTTCTTCGAGCAACTGCTTTTCCATGATGCGCTTGGCTTCCTCCACCCTTCGGAGAACTTCTCGTTCAATTTCATCCTTCCTTTTCTCCAGTTCTTCCTCCACCCTTTTTGCCACCAATTCTTCCACTCTTCGTGCTGTTTCTTCCTCGATGAGTTTTTCTTCTATTTCCTGCTGTCGACTAGCAAACAAAGAGAAAAAGATGAGTTAGACGTTTATTTTTAAAACTGTATGTTTAAACAAAACTAGTTTTAAGTCTATCAAGCCATTGAGCCTGATATTATTCAGTGATTTTTAGAATTCATTTTCATGTCACATTTAAGGAAATGGCAGATACCAAGATGTTAACTGATACAGAAATTCAAATGAATAGAAAATCTTTTTTTTTCCTTTATCATATTCTGAACACAGGAAGGTAGGTGTATACAAAGAGCCTAATTCATTAGTTCTAATTTTGAAATGATTAATCTGAAACAAAATCTACTTCTGTTATCAACTTTATAATCAGAGGACACACTGTTAACTGGGGCTGAGCTAAGGAGAAGTAAGGAGAAATTATGCAGCAGGCAACTGAGACTGGCTAAATTCATTTCCCACTAAACAAAAAGAGAATAAACAGATCAAAGAGATTCAGATTGCTGGAGCAACAGTGCATAGTTTTTACTGAAAATATGACCAACTTAAGTTTTGAAATGATATAAGAGCTTCACAGTTCCTCACTCTTTTCTTCCTTTTGTTAATTTTCAATTAAAACCTCCTCTAGAAATGGGAAAGTGAATAAAAAAGTATTTTATTATCAGAAAAAGTTCAATAAAGCATGCTACTACAGTTTAATTACTCCAAGTCCATTTTGATATTATAAACCAATTTACTCAAAATAAAATTTTGTGCTGAAATTACTGACATTTATCAAGGCGCCACTGTGGAAATCCTGCACATTTTATACCAATGATATTCAGAGATAGCCACTAATTGAAAATTAATATGAAGAAAAACATAAATCATGAACTCCTATTTTTGTGTATTAAAAATGATATTTTGCATAAACCACTAAAATTAATTTCACTGGTTTCTAACATGACTACTAGAAAGTTCTATATTGCATTTATTGTTCATATTACCTCTACTAAATAGCACTCTAAGACAATAATTTGTGCAGAATGAATAAAGTCTGAGGCTCTTCCAGTATATCTAAATCTTAAGAGGCCAACTCATGTTCCAACTTTCTCACAACCCTGAAAATTAAATAAAAACTGCAAGCTTTATCTTTTGATGACTTGTTTGACATACATATGAGAGTCATTCAATTTATATGTTTAGTAAAGACTTTACAGTTTCTAAGTAACCTTTAAACACCCCAGTCCACTTCAACTCAACTCTATTCTTGGGGATGATTCAATTCTCACCCAAGGGTTCTCAAACTCCTGTTACTTATTCACAGTGATAACACACTAACACCAATGTGTCTTAATCTGATGCATTTCAGTTTCTACACTCTTCTGTCAAGGAGACAGTAGGTACTTGAGAAAGCGTATTTTCCTTTAAGGGCCTAGATGTTTGCAATACTCATTCTCAGGAATCTGTTGTTTGTTTCTTAAATACTCCCCTTTCCCCTTCCAAAACTAAGTTTTTAAAAAAGTTAAGAAAGCCTAAGACTTACTATGCCCCTTTTCCTTAACTTCCAATTAAACACACTACAAGAGTGGTTTCAACAAGCCTTTATCTACAGCAGCTCAGTATGACGGCAGGTATCTTTCCCACTACTTTAAAAAAAAAAAAAAAATCAAATCACCGAAAACATATAAAAGGAAATCAGACAACAATTTCAACAGAAATTAAACTACATTTCAATATAAAATGTTGTTTCTCTACTTCATCCAAAGGGAAAGAGAACTAATAAATGAAACGAGGCTGACTAATATAGAATCTGGATAATGGGTATACAAGAATGATGATAAAAATAATCATCATCTACCTTTGTGTATATGTAAATTTTTCATAATAGTTTAAAATGTATATATATACTCACTCCTGTTAGTTGGTTCCTCTGAAATTAGTAAACATAGAAAAGCCTAAGAAGAAACTTAATATTTAAAATTTCAAAACCAGTACTGTACAATGTGACTTTTAATTAGCAATGCTAAGTGGATTATAGTACTATTAAAAAAAAAAGATAATGTTAACACAGTTCCAATTAAAACTCCACACAAAGCAGAAAGAAGACCCTAGGAGTAGAAAGTTGCCAACTTAACTTAGGAAATCTGGTGAAGGTAGAAAAGACCTGATACTCAGGGTTATTTTTCTAACAGCTAAGTCCATCCCTAGGCAAAAGCACAATGGCTACAGTGCCTCATCTACAGATTTGGTCAGTAAGGAGAAAATGAGCCAAATAAATTTACTTACAGCAAAAGTCAAATCAGAATGGTGTCAGCTCCCTGCTTCTATTTCCATCGATTACACCAAATCAGAGGGCCCAGATAACAGGCAATACAGGCAGGCTGTGGGTTGCTCTGCTGTTAAGGAGTCAATTCTAACTACAGCTCAGCGACTTTATAGCCCAAAGGGTGGGCAAGTGTAAAGTCCCATGCGCAACTGAAACACTGGAGAATTAAAAATGACCTAGTGTGGTTTCCCACAACGCTGCTTATCTCCCTTTGTTCCTGGAGGAACTGCAAGGCATCCCATCCACTCAACAGGCAGGTTTCAGGGTACCAGAGCAAAACTGTTTACCTACAAGTGTTAGCAAGAATATAATGCTGTTTTTCTTGGTAAAATTAAAAATGCTATTTCAGTAATCAGAAAAATTTTAAATCACATTTTAGAACCAGTGCTGAAGGAAAGCTCAATTTTATCCCCTCACCAAACACTTAATTCAGCAAACCAATGAGCACAAATACAACCGAATTAAGCATGTATTCATCTTTACTGATGGCAAATTCATCATCATAATCAACGATAAAACCAATATTGCGCCTACTCCCATAAGAGGCACTGGAATGTTCTTGAGTGGGTCATTAGTGTCTTGCAAAATAGGTGTCATTTAATATCTAACAGTCTATTCGCTCCTTAAAACCCTTGCTATAGTAGTTGTTGCCCTCATGATGATCTTTTATCTTTTCCTCATGCTCCTCTGCTGAATATCCATTCCCCTGCCAATAATAGGTGATACTGATGAAAAGCGTTAAACCAAGATCTTCAAGATTTTAAGTGGAAATGGTCCAATACTAGGTCCCATTTTCTTCGTGTTCTCAGGTATTTCAAAAACACTACTCACAATGAACATTAAAACAGAAACTACTCAAAACAAAACAGCAAGACTCCAGCACGACAGCACTTTACAGAGTATTACTCCATACAGAGTAACTGACACCATTATTTAAAAACATCTTTAAAATGTGGGAACTCAATACTAAGGGCTTATTTCTAGGAATCGCATAATAATTATCAGCAAACAGTATTTACTTGTGTAGTGAAGGTAACAAATAATATTGAGCCAAAAGCTTTATATATCATGTCATCCCTTAAATCACATAATTATTTCTATGCAGTGGGTATTTATCTCATTTTTACTGAGGAAACCAAAAACAAGGAGCTTAAGTTTCTGGACTCAAGCACACTGGATGTTGCTGAGCTGTTTCTCTGAACCTAGGTAGATGTCAAAGCTCATGATCTCAAGCAAGCACTTATATACCACCCTACACTGGTTTCTCAGGACAAATCAGAGAGGCAAAGACAAGTGCACAGAATTAACCACCAAAATAATAATAATAATAATAAACATAAACAAAAGAAGAATTAAAAAAACATACATATACAGGCTGGGTACAGTGGCTGACACCTGTAATCCCACTTTGAAAGGCTAAGGTAGAAGGATTACTTGAGGTCAGTTCAAGATCAGCCTGGGAAGCACAGTGAGACTCTGTCTCTACAAAAAATAATACACACATACATACATACATACATATTTTTAACATCAGCTAGGCCTTGTGATGTTCTGTCGGAGCCTTAACCTTCAAAAATATGCAGTCCCATATACTCAATTTGTTCCTAAAAGCTCTTCTTTGCTCTCACAATGAGCTGTCCACATATTCTACTTCTAAGAATCACTCGTATAGATCCCAGTTCAGTGTAGATACTCTAATCTAGAAGGCTGTTAATCTGCCATGTAGTTAACACTGAGGATATTCTAACTAAGGATATCACAGGCTAGAGTAAGTTACTATGCTGCTGACATTTTCCTGATTTGCTGCAAGTCATTTTCAGCTATTTTTTCAACAGTTAATACAACATGCATGCAGGCATCTCAAAATAGCATTTAAGAAAATGGTGCTACTGGTGTAGGGGAGGGGTGAGAAGAACACGCCGCACGGCTGGGACACAGAGATGAGAGGGAGATCTTTTGAACTGAATGTTGAACCATATGAACTGCCTATCCAAAATTGAGGGCAACAGTGTTTAAAAATGTAAAGGCCTACCTTTTAAGAATTAAGATTACAACTCTTAAGATCATGTCTTAATTCACAAGGCTCAGTCTGGCTCTGTATATGTAAGTTACATTAAACAACATTACACATTGAGGTCCATTATATGCCACCTATCGTCTAGATACTTTAAATACATTATGTTCAATTTTCACAATAAGACAGATAATCTCCATTTCACAGATTAAAAAACAAGGTCAGAGGTAGGTGATTTATTCAACACCTCAGAATTTTAAGTGCTAAACCAATAAGGTTTCCAATCTTATCAAAGAATTCCTAATTAGTTAAACCCAACGGTTGATTCTTATTTTATTGTCTCTCTCCATCCAACTAGACTTCTTCAAAGTGCACTTGACACTATGCATTCTTATATTCCTTTCTGCTTCTACCATGGGTTTTCTTCCTCTTTCCAACTGCGAATACAGACATATCATAAGGTTCTTTCAGTCACTCCTCTCTCTCCACACTCTCCCTGGGTCATTCCATATACTCTCAAGGTTTCACTGACGTTCAGTGAAGCCCCTCTTAGCTAGGCTTCAGTCTCACTTTATCGACTCTGGGTAAACTCAGTCCAGTGTATCCAAAACTAGTCCTCACAGTGGAGGCACCAAATGGAAATTCTCTTATCCCCTTTCCCTCTCCCTTATCCGCTATTCACAAAGTTTCTGACATTTTAACCAGTACCTGCCACTTGGTTGTTACTGAAACATTTGGTAGATAAGTTGCAATAGCTATACTAGCTATACCATAAACATGAGAACTAACATTCTTTCCCTGAAGTCCTACATTTCGTTTAATATACCCTAAATTTTTCTTAAGTTTGTCCCTCTTGTCCTTTCCGACAACCAACCTCACTACTCCTGTGTAAACTTCTGTACCCACCTCTTTAGTTTCCATCCCATACAACAATCAAAACAAAAAAGGCACCATGTCATTTACCTACTTAAAATCCTTCCTGTTTCTAGGATGAAATCCAAGCTCTTTAATTGACATACAACAACCCTAACATGATTCTCAGCCTCTATTTACCTCTCCAGTCACTCTATGACTTAAGTATTTAAAGAACTTTGTGTTCTAAGTCAACAGCCACCTGATTATTCCACTTGAAGACCATTTCCCCCACTCCCACCCCCATTTCCTTTATTTTGGCAGGTGTTGGGGGAGGAGGCTCTATGATTCACGTATGTCCTACACCTTGCCTGACACTGTCATATTCTTATATCCTCCACTCATTTTTTAGCACTCCCACACAAGACAGTTTCTTTATACAGTTTATATTACTTGTCACTCCTACTTAATGATCTGTCTTTGAGCTAGATCAAGATCTTGGAGAAAGGCCAATCACCTTTATAACAGCACCTAGCACAGTGCCTGGCACTTACTAAATGCTCAATAAACATTAGCCAAATGAATAAACTAACCAACAGGATACAAAGACTGAAAACTATTTCCTTCCATTCCCAAAGCTCCAACATCGAACTCTTTCCACTGTTTCTTTTGCATTTTTCCAAGGAATCAGAATATACTAAGTAATGCCAGGAACTTAGTGTACAGGTGGCTTTTAGCCCTGGCCCCTTCTCCCTCCTAAATACTATTGGCAATTGGTGTCTTCTCTCAAACCAGAGAACTGTATATACAGCTCCTTTATTTCCCATTATTTAATTCCTGAATTTCTTCACTGCTGTCCATGAGAAACTTGCTAAATGCTTCCATTTATTCTTTGCATACCAAGTTTCTTCTCATATTTTCTACCAATCTTAGCTTTCTAGCAAAAGGCAAGTCATTACTCTTTGAAGGTCTCCTTTGTTTTCACATGAAGAAATTACCTCAGCAATGTCTCACGCATACGTTCATCTATTGATATTTAAGAGCTTTACATCTAACGGCCTTGTTCCAAACCCAAAAGTTGGATTTTATAAAATCAAGGTTTAATGTGAAACAATTACTTTGTGTTTTCATATATGCCACTGACAGTTCTAAGTACAGAAAAAAATGAGTGCTGCAGGTGTTTTAAAAGAATGTTGGAAGCAAAACAGCTTCAGGTACAGCTTCCTCTGTATTTTTAGTGTTCCAGTCCTACCTTTCAGTAACTTTGGTTTTAGAAACAAATTGTGTATGTGCTGCAAAACCTACCTAACACAATTCCAACTACAAAAAAACTACAAAACTCCCAGACAATTCAGTACACATAAACTCACCTCAAGAAAATCATAAATTCAGTAACGTTCCTGCCTCATGAGCACTTCTAAATATTCACGGAAGAACTGACCAAGAATGGCTGGTTAAATAAGGAGTTAGTACGACTGTTCAAATCTATTTTTTGGGAACTGAATACTCAGCAGCAAATTATGATGAGCTTAAAGCAAAACATACAACAAATCCCTACATTTTAAAACCCAAATGTTCCTTTAGTTTGGGATTATCCACATTTACTTTCATAGCCAGAAATACACGAGAGCTGACTTTTTCAGCACATTGTAACTCTAGTTTTCATTAAATAAAAACTCTTCATGTGAGGAACGCCAAAATAAAAACATGTATTCAACTGTCTTCTGTAGCAGTACAATTTAAGGGAAACAACAAAACTGCACCTGTTTGCTAGAGAAAGATAAAGTTAAAAAAAAATAAAGAGTAGGCTTTGGGACGGTGATTACAGAGATGAATTCAAGTATCAAATAACTCATCCCACTGTACACTTAAGGTCTCTGCCTCTCCCCGTTTTTTTTTAGCATCTCAAGAAAGGGGTGACGGTGTTGGCTCGAGGGGAAAAAAAGCAGCCTCGACAACTTAACAGGAACACACTCAAGTGAGAAGGCATTTTTTTGGCAGACCACCTAAAGCGTGCGATTCCCTAGAGTGCTGATACCCTGTGCCCCATCGGAGCCTCCACAGAACGCTTCTGGGCAGCTGCGATCGGCATCTCCAGGTGAAGTCCCTTCTCTTTCCTTCGCCTCCCTCTCGGGGCGACCTGGGCCCGCTCCCCACCCTCCGCGTCCGCAGGCCCGCTGGCTCCCGGACTTCTCTCTCGACTCCACCCCGACTTCCGGGACACCGCTCCGCTCTCGCGCCAAAACCGCCTTCTCCCATTTGAGCCCTTTCTGCGCAAACCCTCAAACTCTCGCCCAGACCCCGCACGACTCCCGGGTCTGTCCCGCCCCAGGCTTTCCGAACGCCGCGCCCCGCGCCCCGCCGCGCCCCGGCCCGTTCCCGCGCCGCGTCCCCGGCCCCGCGCCGTCCCCGCCACGCTCCCCGCCCGCCCCGCGCCGCCCCGGCCCCTCCCACCGCCGACACTCACATTTTTCGCTGCCGCTCGAACTCCGCTTTCTTCTCCTCCTCCTCTCGCTTCTGCTTCTCGTCCAGGCTGCTGCGCTTGCTCACCGTGCGCCCGAAGATGTCGATGCGGTCGGGCGGGGACGAGGCGCGCTCCCGGTCCCGCTCGCGCCGGGACACGGCCGTGTTGGTGGAGCGCGAGCGCGACCGCGACTCCCGCCGCCGGTTCCGTTTACTTTCCCGAGATTTGGAACGCTTCCGCACGCGCTCCTTGTCCCGGGACCGCGACCGGGACCGGCTGCGCTTCTTGTTGTGCTTGCTGCTCTTGGTGTGCTTGGAGCGGGACGAGCTCCGGCTCCGAGACCGGCCCATCCTTCCGGGCGGCGCTCTGACTAACCACCGCTCGCCTCAGGCCCCTCGCGCGGCCGGTTCCCTCGCCTCCGCCTTCGGACGCGGGCTGGAGGTCCTACCGAGGCCGGAGGAAGGAAAGCTGTCGGCCAGCGGACTCTGTGCCCTTTCCCGACGTCTACAGTCGCCGCGAAGGCCGCCTCCAACGAGAAAGCCGCAGCGCAAGGCCACCCTAAGATGGCAGCTACGGCGGCACCGGCCGCCCTTCCCACAATGCCCTGCGAGGAACGTGCCGAAACGTGGGCCCCGCCCCCTGACGATTTTTGCCGAATGTAGGCGGGCGCTTCCGAGCGCACTCGTTTTTTTCCGTCGGTTTTGGCGGAAGCGTGAGATGCAATAAATGGGAGACTCCGGCTTTTCCTCAATGTCCTTTTTTTCCCCTTCCTGGTAAAATGCCAACGCCATGTTGAGTGAATTAAACACCTTTTACTGTGATTTAAGTAAGTCCCGCCTCGCAGAAGTTGATTGATTGCATTATTTTCTAGGAGCTGGTCTTGTTGGGCAGCCCTAAAATGGGTATACGAGTGACCCTGCGCTGATCACGTGCCTTGAGCTGAGTTTCCTCATTCATAGGATGGAGATACCACCGTTTCTGAAGTGCTTATGAGACTTGTAGGAGCTCAAGTATGCAGCAGGTTTTGATGAATAGAATCGAATGCTTACTATATAGGGCTTAATGTGCGTACTAAATGCTTTAATGTATTAACAAGTGTTTAATTCTTAAAATTGTGAATTAAGTACTACTATCATCCCCGTTTCAGAGATGAGGACCCTGAGGTCCACAGAGTCACACAACTAGTAGGTGACAGAGCAGGAATGTGCACCTACGTCATATTGTGCAAAGCCCTTGCACATAGCTAGCAAGCTCTTCTCAACGCTATCGACAAAAGCCTCATCCCCATGTGGTACAACAAACTGTATCACTGTTGTGCCCCAAAGGGAAAAGGCAACATAAATATTTGCAGATGACAGGAACCCTTGAAAATCTAGGTGCCTCAATTTTAAAATAATTTTAAAATTATAAATAAATAATAAAGCTTAACTAAATAGAAAAATTAAAATTGTTCCTTTGAATAAGCAAAAACCTATTAAAAATGGAATAACATTTTCTCCACAATGGCAACAGAAACCATAAAATACTTAGGAATAAACTTTAACAAGTGACACAATCTTTATGATAAACTTTTACTGAAAAGGCGGTAATAAGGCCCTAGTAAATGTAAAACATGCTGTATTCTTAGATGAGTAGTGAGTAACAAAAATATTGCCACTTCTTCCTAGGTCAAATTACAAAATTAGTGCAATTCTCATGAGAGTCCCAAATTCTCTTGGTGATAGGTGTCTTAGAACTAATTAAATAATTTAAAGTTTTATATGGAAGATCACGTAATGAATGATCAAGAAAACTTGGAAACAAAAAAGAACAATGTATTTGTCGTGTGGACTGCTATAATAAAATACCATTAACTAGGCAGCTTATGAACAACAAATTTATTTATCACAGTTCTGAAGGTTGGAAATCCAAGATCCAGGTGCCAGCTGATCTGGTCTCTGGTGAGGACCCAGAGAGTCACAGATCACTCACAGAAGGCACCTACTCACTGTGTCCTCACATGATGGAAGGGGCGAGCTAGCTCTCTGAGCTCTCTTTTAATGGCACTTCTAGGGTCTGAAAGTTTATGTCCTCTCAAATTAATATATTGAAACCTAATCACCAGTGCAGTAGTGTTAAAAGGTGGGGCTTTGGGACGTTGATTAGGTGATGAGGACTCTAACCTCATAACTAAAATTAGTGCCTATCTCAGTCCATTCCCACTGCTATAACAGAATACTTTAGACTGAGTGACTATAAATAATAGACACTATTTCTCAGAGTTTTAAAGGCTAGGACGTCCAAAATAAAGGTACCAGCAGATTCAGTGTCTGATAAGGGCTTGCTCTCTGCTTCCAAGACAGTGCCTTGTTGCTGGGTCCACAGGAGGCGACAGACACTGTGTCCTCTCATGAGGGAAGGGATGGAATTCGAAAGGGTGAAACAAAAATAAAAAAGTTTTGGGGGGGGGTACTAGGACACTCCTGTCAACCTCTTTTGTAAGAATACTAATCTCATTCAAGAGGGTGGAGCCTCATTTCTTCATCACTTACCAAATGGCTTCAGCTTTTAATGTCATTACAGTAGGTATTAGGCTACAACGTAAGAATTTTAAAGAGACACATACATTTAAGCCATAGCAGTGCACTTATAAAAAAGGCCAAAGGAAGCGTGTTCACCCCTTCTTTACCAAGTGAAGACAAAGAAGGAGTCATCTATGAAACAAAGAGTGAGGCCTCACCAGACACTGAATCTGCCAGTGCCTTAATCTTGGACTCACGGCCTCCACCCCACCCCCTGGAACTGTTACTGCTTACAAGTAAATTTTTGCTGGTTATAAATGACCCAGTTTGAGGTAGTTTGTTGTAGAAGCCTGAATGGACTCAGATAGGAACTAATCCAATTCATGAGGGCAGAGCCAGCAGCCCTAGCTCCTAATACCACCATCTCCCAACAGCCCCACCTCTTAATACCATCACATTCATGATGAGATTTCAACATCTGGATTTGAGAGAAGACACAAACGTTTACACCATAGCAAATAGTAAGGGTTTGCCCTATGAAAAATTGAATAAACTGAACAGCAAGATTTTACCACAAAAACAGGAAAACAGTGCAATAGAAGGATAGATCTATTCTTTTTCTTCAGATACACTCAAATAAAATCACATTTAATGTAGAATCTAATTCTCACATCTAATGTAGAATTACCCCTATTGTAAGGGAAATATTTCTGTCAATCTAACCATCTGTCAGTACATATCTGTACCTATCTATCCATTGGCAATGATATCTATGGGTTACCTATCCATATATGGTGTGGATATATGATATGACAGATACATCTGGAATTTTGCTTATAAATGTATATTACATATATATATATATATATATATATATATATATATTCCAGAATGATGTCTGTTTAATGTTAAAGTTAGTTATTTCCAATGAGTTAGTGTATGAATTTTCTAGAGCCACCCTAACAAACTACCATAGACTGATGTCTTTTTTTTTTTTTTGAGACGGAGTTTTGCTCTTGTTACCCAGGCTGGAGTGCAATGGCGCAATCTCGGCTCACCGCAACCTCTGCCTCCTGGGTTCAGGCAATTCTCCTGCCTCAGCCTCCTGAGTAGCTGGGATTACAGGCACGTGCCACCATGCCCAGCTAATGTTTTGTATTTTTAGTAGAGACGGGGTTTCACCATGTTGACCAGGATGGTGTCGATCTCTTGACCTCGTGATCCACCCACCTCGGCTTCCCAAAGGATGTCTTAAATGAACAGAAACGTATTCACTTACGGTAGTGGAGTCCAGCAGTCCAAAATCAAATGTCAGCAAAGTTGGCTCCTTAGGAGGCTCTGGGGAAGAATGTGTTCACTGCCTCTCGCTTAGCTCTTGGTGCTTGCTGGCACTCCTTGGCTTTTAGTACCTGTTTCCATCTTTACTGTGCACCTCTCTTCTTGTAAGAGCACTGGGGATTGGTTTTAGGTCCATAGGAGATTATGGAGCTTTTAAAAGAGGAAGATATTTATCCTGCTCAGGCTCTGGCCATGCCTTTTGGCTGCCTCCAGAAAACAAAAAAAGGAAAGGAAAAAAAGTGCATGAAATTTTTAAATCCCAAATTTACCAGGGATTATCTCTGAGAATGTATTGAAGGAATGAGGGACACACATGTTTTGTGCCTGCATTTTAGAGTATAATTATCAAAATCTTGATATTTCACACTCCCTGAACTCACCTTATTTTCTCATGTATTTCTTTATTGACTATGTTTTTTGCCACCAAAATCCAAATTCCAGGCACCTTGACTGTTTTGTGTTCACAGACACCCTATGGTTTAGCTATTAACCTCAATAAATAGATTCCAAATACACCTTGAAAGAAAAGAACTGAATGATTTTTTATCCTGAGTATAAGTTTGGCTTCATTTGTTTTGTTTTGTTTTCAGACTCTTAAAAATTTTCAGTTGCCTCCTCCCTCCATTCCCTTATCCAATAAAAGCATTTCCTTAGTTCATCTTTGAATAATTAAGATAGCCAAATATAAATAACATGTCATTCAAATCCAGATCATTCCAAAGAACAACCTAAATGTAAAAAATCCCGAGGAGATGCATGAATTTATCTTTCCTCCTTGATATGATTTGGCAGTTTCTTCACCCAAAATCTTATTTTGAATTGTAATCCCCATAATCCCCACATGTCAAGGGAGAGACCAGGTGGAGGTAATTGAATCATGGGGGTGGTTTCCCTCATGCTGTTCTCATGATAATGAGTGAGTTCTCATTATCTGATGTGTATTATGATGTATATTATATATATATATATATATATATATAAACCATCTTTTATATATATATATATAAAACCATCAGATATAATCTGATGGTTTTATAAGTGTCTGGTAGTTCCTCCTGGGTTCATTTCTTCTTCCTGCCCCCTTGTGAGGAAGGTGCCTAGCTCCCTTTACCTTGGGCCATGATTGTAAGTTTCCTGAGGTCTCCTCTGCCATGCTGAAATGTGAGTCAGTTAAACCTCTTTTCTTTTTAAATTACCCAGTCTTTGGCAGTTCTTTATAGTAGTGTGAAAATGCACTAATATACTCCGAATTCTTAAATTACTGATCCTCAATTGTTTTTGCCAACTTTTCAAAATTTGGGATGTATTTTGCAACATGTCCATGAAGTATCATAAATATTGATTGCCTTGGTGATAGAAAATACCATCTTAGTTGCTCAGAGAGTTACGTCTGCACTTACAGTGTAGGTGGAGTCCTTGGGCACCATGGTCCCGCGCTCTCTGTAGTGTTGTTTATTAGAATCTCACCCACTTAATTCTTCCTGAGCTGTTTGACACCCAGTTTATGCCCAACTCTCTGCCCTCCTGACTCCCAGTACCTTGGCAGGTTGTCTCCTTGGCAGCGCGTTATTTGTAAGTTTTAAAAATGACATATGTGTTCGGTAACTTAAAGGAAAATCTCAACACAATGAAAATAAACTTTAAAAAATAAAAACAAACATATTCATTATTTAATATTCATCTCTCTAGCTAAAAAGTTCACTCCTTTGGTCTGGAGGTTGGCAGGTGGGAGGGAGGTGGGCATCTGTGCCTGAGACT